TTACATATTTTTAGTTAAGTCTATTTTACAGGAGTTCTCAAAGAGAGTTTTCTCAACTAATGTGAATTGAACACTATAGCATTCAAATAAGATATATATTAATGGTTTTCTTGGTTGACATGATTATTCTACATTATTGTCGACGCATAGTGATGTAAATAATAACTTAGTTTATTGTATTATATAAAACACAATCAATGATATTTTATTGTATATTCTTATGTTTAGATATAATCGTGAGAGCTGAACAGAAAAATATGTCAACAAAGCCTTTGACTTTATCACCCATAAAACATAATATCTTTTCAATCGAGAACCACCACTATAACATATTTATGTTATGGACACAAATCAAAATCTGGTAGAGTTTATATAAGTCTTGAACAACCACCACCACGACCATTTATGTTGCCTTCATCTCACCCTTGCAAGTGGTCATATGTCCCTGAAAGATAGGAAAAGGGGGCGGGATTATAACCTCTTTTGTCATCAAATTGGACTTGCACATGGGATTGTGTCGAAAAAGAAGGCCCTGAAGGCTGTGGTGATACATTTATGGGTATATTGTAGTTAGAAGGGAAGATAGTATGGCTCGCGACAGCTATGTCGGGAAAATTTTGAATGGTTTGTTGTCGCATTGATTGTTGTTGTGTAGCGACCAATGTAGCGAAGTTGGGACTATTTTGAATCTCTCGATACCGGTTTTTAATTTGGGCAATAAGGTTTTAGAACCAGGAAATGCACTCCCTGACCTTATTACCGTCAAGGCTCTCGATGGACACTTGTTCCCACCAGTCTTTAGGGCGAGTCCCATTGATCTTATCAAGATGTTTCATCTTTTCAGTTAACTGGTCTTTCATTCCCAAGACCTCATCGGTATGTTGCTTAAGTTTCTCAATATGCTCTCGGTAATGCTCCTCGATGAGTAAGGAATCTCCGATGATTGGCTGGTTGGGATTTCTAAATCTTTCCAAAATAGACTCCATTGTGGGATGGGAAAAAGAGTATGAATTGTTCGTAGACGAGAACATAGTGATCCCAACGTCAATACCACATGCAATATTAAGCTCGCTAGCCTTTTTCTATAAGCCAACCTGACGTTTTGAAAATGAAACATATAGTTTTTGCTTATTCTCAAAACGTTGGATAGGAATTCTTTGGCGGCCATGAAATTGTATGCCTGCCATTTTATAAATGAAAAAATATATATTATGACAGTTATACAAAATAAAAGAAGTGATATGAAAATTGCAAGAAATTGAATTAGAATTTAATTTCTCATGACCATTAGGATATTTAAGTGGCAATTTATTTGTAGTAGATTTTTTTAATCAACAAACAACAATTAATAGTATTTAATTATTTATACTTTTTTCTTTAAATGTCATCTTCTACCTGTCCCACCTACTTATTTATTATTTTTTGAAAAAAAAATTAATAATTAGTCCATTTGAGAAAAAAATAAAAAATAAAAACTAAACAAATTTTGGTCCCTTATTGAAAACACTAGCGTAAAAAATGATATGGAGGTAACAAAGTCTGATGTGATATCTAATATGGACTAAGCATGACCGTGATTACCAAAACACTACTATGTATGAGTAATCAGGAATAAACTAACCAAATGCACATGTTTGTGTTCCAAACAACACAAGCCATGTACGATAAAATGGCCACATTCGTAATCAGGTCTAACACGGCCTTATTACTTTGAAACACAAGAGTATTTATTGGGACATGGCTTATTTATGGTTGTATTGAAATATGGCCATGTTGTATCATAACACGGCCGTGTTTATAACATAAACAAGGTGCAGTAAATGGTCATTTTGCAATACAACCATATTTGTCTATTATATGGGTGTATTTTGTCATTTATTCAATTTTTTGCCATGTTTGACTAAGCAAACATGGTCATATTTCAATATGACCGTTTATGCTATTAGCACGTTTGTATTAAAAATACAACACGCCTATGTTTCCATACGGCCGTGAATAAGCCATTTCTCAATATGCATGCCTGTAATTCAGAGTAACATAGCCGTGTTTAGACACAATTACAAATTCAATTGTTTTATCGTACCTGGGCTTTCTTTTTTTTTTTTGGAATATGAGCATGTGTTTTTGGTGCTGAATACTCCTATATGGTCGTGTTTAGTTTAACACGACTGTGTTCAGTTCAAATTAGATGCCACATCAGACCCTATTACGTCCACGTTAAAGTTTGTTGTTAGTTTTTAAATGTCGGATCAAAAGTGATTAAAATTATTAATGGGAAAAATTGTAAAAAATGTCTCGTATTTAGGTTCAATTATCATTTTCGGACACTTTTTTTTCCTACTTTCGCATTTTAGGACAGTATGTGTACTCCGGACATGATTTTTACCCTCTGACACCGAAAAACGCACGTGACAATCATGTACGCCTACGTGGTATTGCCGGTGCAAATGTGGACTTCGTCGGTGGTGTGCTATCGACTGCATGGACATCGGAGGAGTGATGTGGAATTTCAATTTATTTAAAAAATATAAAAAATTCAATTTGGCCCGATTGGACCAAATTGCAAATAACATATTTGCGATTTGGTGTAATTGGACCAAATTGAAATTTAAACCCTAGATCCATGAGAGACAATCTCAATTCCTTTTATTCGAACCCGTAAACAAAGCCCTAGTTTAATCTCCTCCCCAACATCGATCTCCCCCACCTCCGTTTCGATTCCACAGTTGGCCTACCTTTGTTTCCACCGCCGACGTTGGACCGCACAGCATGACGCACAAATACTCCACCTCGTGGGTGAGTGGGGTGGAATCGGTGAGAAAAACTCCATTATTTTGGGAGTACGGTAGGGCGATGACTACAAAATTAGGTATGATTTTTTCTCTATGTTTAGGGTTTGATATTCTTTTTGTCGAATCGAAAAGAAAGTATGTGGGTTTGTGTTCCGCTCTACTAGTAATTAATCGCATAACATGTGATCTTTTTTGTGGTGTTCGATTTATAGAAATCATGCCTAGTTGTGTTCTCATTTTTCTGAACTAATTACTTAGCTATTGTGGTTCCAATTTGATGTTTGACAATTCTTTTTCGCTCTGAATCTTAGGTGTTGGACCACCCCAGCAAATCGACAATAACTCTATAGAGTTAAAAATGCTTTTAACACTATAAAAAAATAATATATTTGTAACGGAATTCCGTCCCTAAAGTTCACGTAGCTAACGTAATTCCATTACTAATTCCGTCTCTAATGTCATTAGTAACGTAAAAAGTAGATTTAGAGACAAAAAAGTTTTGTTACCAAAATGATTTTTTCTTGTAGTGTAAACTATAAAAATTATGCAAAATGATATGTTGTTTATATAATTGTATTTTTTTTTATAGAAGTTTATAATTTATTTTACTTTTTATTAATTATATTTTAAAAAATAAATAAATTATATAGTATAAAAATATATTCCCTCCGTCTCATTGGTGTCATTTTTCTATTTTGTTCGTCCCAAAACAATGTTATAATTTTCTGATTTAATAATTATACTACCTACCTAACATAATAAATACCCTTCTAACTTACACTATATTACACAAATATCATTACTTTTATATTACACAATACTAATAGGATAATTTCGTCTTTTTTACTACAACTCATTATAATGCTAATATTCAAAAATTTATATGCAAAAACTTAACAACCACCTTGCACCGGGACTGGGGAGTAGTATTTTTTTTAAATTTGGTAATTTATATTTTTAAATTTTAATTTAAAAATAATATATAAATTAAAAATAAAATTACAATTCATTGTTAAATTATTTATATTTATATAATTTATTATAAAATTTTATAAATTATAATATTTAATAATTTTAACCTTTTAATATAATTAAAATTTAATATTTTTAAATTTGATATATGAATTTTAATTTACGCATAATATATAAAATAATAATAAAAATACAAAAATATTAAAATTTAACTAAAATATAAAATAATTATTTTTACATTATATATAATTTATTATTATTATTATATTTATTAATAAAATAAAATTTTAATTTTAATTAAAAATATTTCTGTATTTAAAAAAAAAAAACACTTTTTAGTTTGAAACTATTTTTCTTTTGGACAAATCAATACAAATAAGTATAAATTATATTTATTTTTTGTTAAATTGAAGTCAAAATAAGTATAATATATATATATATATATATTTTAAGCCAAGAGCCTTTCGCAACGTTAATGCTGAATAGATTTCGTTCCGAATACAGACCCGCATCAGTTCGACGGCGGGCAAAAATTGACCCGACACGACCCAATATAAAATAATTGGATTTGGATTAAAGATTTTAATTCGATTATATATATATATGGGTTGATACGAACCCGCCACGATAATAATAAACATGTCGGGTTAAGGTCGAGGTTCTCAACTCGAATCCGATACGACAACCCGATTATAATATATTAATATTAATTAATATATTTATTATATATATAAAATAATCATAATTTAATAATTTTTTCATAAATTAATTTAAACTAAGTTAAATTTTAAATAATTCAACATAATTTATGCTAAAAAAACCAATAAAAATTAACATAACATGACAAAAAAACAAAAAATTATTTAATTTGAATCAAGAAATTAAACTTATTATTATGTATATGGGTCAACATGACCCGAACCCGACACAATAATAAACAGGTTAACACGAACCTGATACGATAATAAACAGATTATGTTAGAATTGAATAATTTAACCAATTTAAAGAATTCAACCCGATACAAATATGACACGAATCGACGATTGCCGGGTCTAATAAGTTCCCACCCACTTCCCACTACGTTGGCCACGAGGGGCTCTTTCGTAAATTCAGTCTCGAACTTGAAATTGAATACTCACGTGCCTTTGAAATCCAGAACCATGACGTGCCACGTGTCGATTTCTCAGCCCCTCTCATATTCCGCTCTTTCTTGAAAGAAAATGGAAAAATTATATTGTGTAGGTGCTAATTTGGATGAATGAACGAACAAGACAAGCAGATATTATCTATCCACTTTTGGAGATAAATCACACTTTCTAGAGCGATAATCCTAAGCTACAGAAATTGATCTGCGATAATCTGTTTCGCAGTCCTTTTCGTGTGTCGGCGCCTATGGGAGGTTGAATTGATAATTTTTTTGCCGGACGGGGGTTTTCCGGGGGCAATGGCTATCGGTGCGGTGTTTTCTCACCGGAATTTTGGCTCTTACATCGGTTCAGGTATGCCTGTTAAGTTTTGGCTATTGCTATGCAATGTTAGTGCAGTGGTTGGTTGCAGTCTCGAGCGTGGTATGCTTTCGCTGGTGATTTTTGTCTTTTTCTTTAATGGATATTAAATTTCATTTAGAATTAGGTTCGATTGTTGGTTTGCAAAGTTTTTGGCACTCTAGATGTTTTTTGAATTTCTGAGAAAAAATGTGCTAGAGCAGTTAGGGGTGAGTAAGTTGCTTGTGTGTGCTTGTATAATGGGTTTGAAAGCTCAAGGTTCTTACGAATTGCAGGCATCTAAGTTATTTATTTCAGAGATTAACTGAATCAGTTTGTACAATAGAAATTGAATTCTATAATTATTAGAATGATTTGCTAAATTGGAAAAATAGCTAGTATGAAAGAGATTTGTCCTCTATTTACATGTGTTGTGTTTACAATGAATTTCACCCATTGCAAAAACTAACTGAAGTTGAAGAATTGAGACACAAATATGCTTGATTTCATAACACCTTGACGAGAATCATGAATGGAAACTTTGTGGTCATTAACAGTCTAAAATTGCTATGAACGGAGTAAGGAAGACGAAATGTAAGTGTTTCCTTCGTTCTGTCTCTTATTCAGATGAGATTAAATATAGATAGGAAGGGAAATGGGCAGAAGAAGCTACATCTTAAAATCTTTGGGCTAATGAATCTAAAAAATCACTTCAATTTGGGCGGTGTTGCCCCAATGATGTTTAATTATGATGTTGGTTGACTTTCGTAAAAATATACCTTTAAGTTTAAGTTCTTAGATATGACAGTCATTTGCATCATCTAATATGATATTAAAGACGGAAAGTTCGTGTTCGAGTCCCACCACCCTCATTGTGGCTTTTGCACTTAATATGAGCTGTTGGCAGAAGGCCAAAGTATTTGGTTTGTATTTTGTTTTCCATTTGTGATCTTTAAGATTATAACGGATATGTCCTTGATTTCCTTATGATAATAGGATGCGGATATTGTGGAGAAAAAGCAGCAAAAGATCAACCAAGTGGCTTGCAATTTAATGCTGTTTCATTGCGCTATTCAAATAAAAGCATGTCTTGCAGTGCCATATATCACCCGAGGTCAACCTTCCCAGGCACCATGAATCAATTACTGCATCCTGCAATGGATCAAGTGAACAGAGAAATTTCACGATCAATTTCAGTATTGCATTTTAAAGCAGATTCACGTTTCATAATGTCCAACCAAATGGTTGAGAAGCGTAGAGCCATTGCACCAAAGAGAAAAATTAGGGCAATAAATCAATGCAGCCTTTCGTCATTTTACTCTGATGCCAGTTGGATTCAATCAACGAAGTTCGATAAGCTTGGTTTTATTGGTAGCCAAAAATTTCTGTCAAAACATTCAACAGTGACGAGGACTCGAGCTGATTTCAAATCTGAAGAGCATGACATAACTGGTACTGAGTTGCAGCCATTCGTATCATCTCGCGGGGCAAGTGAAGCCACGGTACTTGAAGGAGTTGAGCCAACAAAGCAATGGTGGGAGCAGTTTCCAAAGCGTTGGGTGATGGTGCTTCTATGTTTTGCATCATTTCTGTTGTGCAACATGGATAGGGTAATCCTCATCCTTCATTATAATTTTATTTGATTTTGTGTTTCCGTCTGATGCTTTCCTTACAAGTTTGGTGATTTCCTTGTCTAGAATAGAACATTGCTAATCAGTTTCTGGTGTATGCAAACTCCTGTACTTGCCAAATTAGATTGAACCTCCATTATCTCTTTCAGTTTATATATTTTCTCTCTTTTTAGGTGAATATGAGCATAGCGATACTCCCCATGTCCAAGGAATTCAACTGGAGCAGTGCTACTGTTGGCCTAATTCAATCTTCTTTCTTCTGGGGTTATCTACTGACTCAGGTAGCATGCATGATCTTTTAAAGCGACTCAGCTAGTTCAAGGGGCTTGTGATAAAGTCAAATGAACAGCAAATGTCAAGCATCCCATATATTTATTACTGCTATGATGCTATCCCTATCACTTGTGTATTAAGTTGAGCCATAAATAATTTATAGGTTTGATCTAAGTAAAAAACAAACAAGGCAAGTCTCAATGCATATTTGGCTATTTGCTAATAGCACGTCTACTGTTAGTGAAATCATAAACCAATAGATGTCAGATGCTGAGAGATATGGTATTTGTGCATCAAATATACTATATAGTCTATAATGGAGAGACGAGTGGAGTAGAGTTTCAAAGGAATATAAGTTTTAGAAATAATACATCAGTATGCATTATATCATATCTGTATACACTCTCCTAATTTATTTATTCTTCGAAAGATATGATAAACAAACTGCTATGTGGAATTGGCTTTGTTAATAGATCTATTATTCCTTTAGAAATATTCCGATTTGGATAAATGTTATACAAGCTGAATTGGGTATCACTGAGCCACATTACAGTATTATTGTTTCTGTTGCTAAACTTATACCATTTTTTGTTTGAATAGATTGTTGGAGGCATATGGGCTGATAGAATTGGTGGGAAGCTAGTTCTTGGTTTTGGAGTAGTTTGGTGGTCGCTAGCAACAATTTTGACGCCAATTGCTGCAAAGATTGGGCTTCCTTTCTTACTTATTACGCGAGCCTTTATGGGAATTGGCGAGGTTAGCTGCAAGCATATTTCTGCATAGACTATTTTAGGTTATCCGCTTGTACAAACTCATAACAATAAAATGGGGAAAAGCTTTTATGAGATAAGCACTAACAAAATAAAAATAATACTATCTGAAAGCTGATATAGGGTCCGTTAGTGACTTTGAACTACCTGCACACTCTACCAGCCAGTATTCAATTATGAGTGTTGAACATTGTTGAGTTTTTCTGGTTTGTGCATTGTAACTATTGCTTCTGGACTTATTTTTACTAGGCAAGGCTTTATTTACAAATGTTGACACATAGAGATACAGGAAACTTGTTCACATTGATTTGATATCTAACTACATGCTAAATACTACAGTTTACGATACATCCTACATTTCTGTATTGGTATTTTCTCATAGTAATTTATTTACATTGTACATTACTTATACTATTGAAAATAGACTTTATGTGGAAAAGCCCAAAAATCTACAACATGCATCTATATTCTCACAAGGCTCAGTGGTCAAACTATCTTGATCATTATATGCTTGCCTTATGTTGTTTTCGAAAGACAAAAGGACCTATCTGCTGGAACTTCAATTCATTTGTAATGATGTTTATTTGTATTCCAGGGTGTGGCTATGCCTGCCATGAACAATTTGTTATCAAAATGGGTTCCTGTCTCTGAGAGAAGCCGATCTCTTGCACTAGTTTACAGTGGCATGTATCTTGGTTCAGTTACCGGTCTGGCAGTTTCTCCCATAATGATCCACAAGTTTGGGTGGCCATCTGTTTTTTATTCTTTCGGATCCCTTGGAAGCATCTGGTTTGCACTGTGGTTGAGCAAAGTAAGGCCTTCTTTCTATCATGGTTTGAATAATGAAATCATGTTGGACTTAATAGACTTATTGGCTTCATTTTTGTAGAAGAATATACTAATCTGATAGATCAGATGCTGAAAAAGAATAAGTAAAAAAGAAAAAAGAGGTTCTAAAAGATTGCTTCTGCCTTCCACAGTTATTGACCAAGAAAAGTTTTCTCTTTTAAGTCTTTATTACTGTGCAATCCATCTCAGTTCCATGAAACGGCATTGAGCTAATGTTACTGGTGCACTATGGATACTTGTTTTAGTTGATTTTCATGTATCCTCTAGATTCATTATTCCTATTCTCACTTATATTGACTTATAACAAATTCTAGGCGCACAGTTCACCTAGTGAAGATCCAAATCTAAGTTTGGAAGAAAAGAAGCTGATCATGGGAGGCAGTATATCCAAGGATCCCGTCTCCAGAATTCCATGGAAGAAGATTCTGTCAAAAGCCCCTGTCTGGGCCCTTATTATTTCCCATTTCTGCCATAACTGGGGAACATTTATTCTTCTTACATGGATGCCGACTTATTATAACCAGGTATGCTTAGCAGTTGAATAATTAGGAATTGACAGAGGTTTGGTTTGTTTCATTTTTGTTTCTGTATGCAACTTCATGATTCGAGAGTTCACACTATAATGTGAATATCATTTCGCTTATTTAAGACATTAGTTGATCCTGCTATCTCACTAATTCCTTCCTGTTTATTGTTATTACTTCTACAGGTTTTGAAGTTCAACCTCACTGAATCGGGATTATTCTGTGTGCTTCCATGGCTCACCATGGCTGTGTTTGCGAATATAGGCGGTTGGATTGCTGACACCCTTGTGAGCAGAGGTCTGTCAATTACATCTGTTCGAAAGGCAAGTGTCCTCATTTCTTTATGGGAACCAATATTATTCATTGCTCGTTCATTCATGTATGCCTTCAGTGACTTACCGAGAGCAAAAAATGCCCATGAATGCTTCTAATCCAACTTCTGCTGAGGATAATGACTGCTCAATTATTTATTCCTGCAGATAATGCAATCGATTGGATTCCTTGGCCCTGCTTTTTTCCTAGCGCAGCTTAGTCGTGTGAAAACACCTGCTTTGGCAGTTCTATGCATGGCTTGCAGTCAGGTTTAATCTATTTTCTATAATCTCCAAACAAACTAGTTTTTGTTCTTTCTGCAACATAGTAAACTTTAGTTATGGCTGCACAGGGTTCAGATGCATTCTCGCAGTCTGGCCTATACTCCAATCACCAGGATATTGGCCCTCGTTATTCTGTGAGTTGAATCAACAATTCATTGCTATTTATTTACTTAAATCAAGTGCAAGCTGGAAGCCTGGATGCATAGGCATAAATGTTTGAAACATGTTTAATAAATATTTATTGTTAAAAAAACACCAAACAAACTCGTACATTTTTAATGCAATATATCAAATATTAAATAAATGTACAATGTGATTTTTTGAGAGAGAATAAATTACATAGATGAATAGTGAAAACAACATAGAGAAAACACAACCAAGCAAACCGAAAGTTATTGGATGGCAAAAGGTTGTCAAATAGGACAGTAAAGAGTGGTATAAATCTTTGATTGATACAATTATGTTATAGCTTTTTAAATTAGTTCATTTTAGTTACTCTAAAGGGGCATAAGTTTAATATTTAGTGTGTAAAATGTATGTTCATGTGTTACATGTATAAAAATTTTCGAACACAACTTAATTCATGTAAATGAGTTTCCAACATTTGTACAAATTACAGGGAGTACTCTTGGGACTGTCCAACACAGCCGGTGTACTTGCAGGTGTATTCGGAACAGCTGCAACTGGTTACATTCTCCAGAAAGGTACAACCAAATTTAAGCTTTTCATTATCTCATGTCAACTTGTCAGTATTTATGCATGTAATAAAGTATTCATACTTCTAGCTGGTAATTCATAACGTTTGGTAAATTGTGTGGTTGTATATATATATATGGGTCCTAATGATAGCCACAAGTCTTCTCTCCTTTTCACCCCCTAGGTAACACTAGTTGTCAATATTTCATTCGATTATGTTTAAAATACTGTTTCTGTTATTTTTGAATCAAGTAAGATCAAATTAAGTAAGTTTGTGTTGTATCGTATATATCTATCTTAAGTTATCTGCAGGTAAATTTTGGTACAAATTCATTGTTTATAATAATACTTGTGGTAATCAAGTTTTGAGTAAAAATGACTTCGATGGAGTAAAGTAGAAATTCGATAATTATGACCCATTCACAAGCCTATATTCATGTGAGTGTTTCCGAAGTCATGTTGATAATGCTCGACTTGTACGAACAGGTTCTTGGGACGACGTTTTCAAAGTGGCTGTTGTATTGTACATCGTAGGCACATTAGTGTGGAACTTGTTTTCCACCGGAGAGAAAATTCTTGACTAGATTGATCACGGAAAATTCTTGAGCGACGACAACGGGAAAAAGTGTAGTAAAAACATGCCTGCACTACACTACACTACACTACACTACACTACACACAACAGGTTTGTAAGAATTACGGGAAAAATTTATATCTACATACAACAGGACAGGTGGTGATGAAGCTTAATTTGGCAATGCTGGATTGAACAGGTATGTATGTGTTTATGTTGTTTGTTGGCATATTGGTGCATAAAGCTAAATGCATACTTGATGTGTGTATATGCATGCTGTTGTGATGAGTAACAACATGCTGCTATATGTAGATGTGCATTTATTATTTATTGCATTGCTTGATTTAAGGAGTTTATTACAAAATATGTAACACCTCAAAAACTTTTTACTGGGACTGTTGCATGCCGACACCTTAACAACACGTATGCGCATGCGTATCTCGATGCAAAGATTAAAATATAATAAAAATAAGTACAAACATCTTTTTTTCTTTTTTATGAAAGTAATAAAATATTTTTACCAACACTCACAAATATTTTAAAATATGCAATGTTAGAAGGTCATGGATATTTGATAAAAGTTAATACGTATGATGCATCGACTCGACGAAGGTCTGGGATTTAATTATGCATGACAAAAAAGTACTAACATTAGCAAAAGGTTAAGTCTAGGTCATCAATTTATTCTAGGTCATATCCACAATTATCACAATTTACCAGTTGACTTTTCAATCAACTATTAAGTTTTACCAAATCTACGATTTATATAATTTATCAATTGATTTGTCAATCAACAACGAAGTCTAGTCAAAGTCACAGTTTAACACAATTTATCAATTGACTTGTCAATCAACGGCTAAGTCTAGCTAAATTCAAGGCTTACATATTTATCAATCAATGGTTAAGTTTAGACAAATCTACGGTTAACACAATTATTAAGTAACTTGTTAATCAACGGCTAAGTCTAGCCAAATTCAAGGCTTACACATTTATCAATCAACGGTTAAGTCTAGACAAATCTACGGCTAACAAAATTATTAAGTAACCTGTCAGTCAACGACTAAATTTATCCAAATCCACAGTTTACAAAATTTACCAATTGAATTGTCAATCAACGTCTAAGTCTAGCCAAATTCTCGGTTTATACAATTTATCAATCGATTTTTCAATCAACAGTTAAGTCTAGCATATTCATAGCTTATATATTCACATCTTATACAATTTATCATTCGATTTGCTAATCAATGATAAGTCTAGCCAAATCTGCAGCTTACAAAATTCACCAATCGACTTTTCAATCAATGACCAACTTAGCTAAATCCACGGGTTATAAAATTATCGACTATATTTCATCGTATAGATAATGTATTCACAAATCAACTATCAACAATTACTTGTCCAACGACGACATCAATAACTCAATAAATGATTTATCCTATGCACTATATATCACATCAACTTCTATTAACAATAAGTATTATCATATCACAGCAAGTTTACCATATATTACAAAAATATAATCATAACGGGTCTATTCATTTCAATCGAGCATAATTTAATCATTTACCTTAACCAAAGACCTATGTAACACCCCGGCCGGCTCAAACCGGAGCGTCACCGCCACGCCACACCGTAAGGCTCGTTCATCAACCAACTAGCCCTACGTTGTGGCGCTAAGGCTAAAATAACCATTACAAAATAACTATTTAGAGCTTTAGAATTAAAGCGCACCGGTTTATCATTTAAATAAATAATGTTCGAGTTAAAAGCATAAGTTGTAAATAGTTCAAAAGACATTAGTTATTAAACATTAATAATGGATTTCAAAAATATTTTAGAAGATAAAGTAGTTATAGTTCCCCCGATGGATCATATGATGTGGATGCATCATTTAGGTATAACATAAACATGATCACCTACAAAAAGATTGTAAGAAGAGGGTCAACACAACGGTTGAGTAAGCGCAATTAATCGAAGATAAATTAATACGGTATAATGCCACAAAATCATTTGAAGAACATAATTTGAATAAGATGACACTATCGCATAAGGATAACTCACACACAAGAGTTTTTTAGCGCCTCCCTTATATCTCCTTTTCATTCTCAAATAATAGTGATGAGCACATCACGAAGAAAACTCCACTAGGCCTTAATCAGGGTCGGCTCGACCCGGTTTTCCAACCTTATTACTTCGTATGACACGTCACATAGTTTCACATAACAAACATAGGATCACAACCCTCAAAGGAAACTCCACAATGTGTACATAAGGGTTCGAAACCCAAAGTACACGTAAATCAATTTATTATTAGTTTGCGAGGGGCGCCATACGGCCCACAACCCTCTAGTCTCCAATATAACATACCAAGAGGGGATTGTACGCAATCCATCCCTCCATCACGGATGACGGTCTAAAGACCTTTTCATCGTGGATGACGGGCACCTCGGAATCACCCAAAAAGGGAACCCGCCATCTCGATCCCTCGACCTAGCCCATTCAGGATCTAGTTCAAGGTTAGCTAGTTATCCTAAAATACCGGTATACCCTCACGTGTTTGCAAGGCACAGAGGTGGAAGGCTATGTCTTATCATCCAAACGATCGACGAGTTGATCGGACTCGATGGGTAGTTTCAATTACCAATCTGACCAAATACTCAACATGCTCTTAGGCAAATTTCAAAAAGAGTGTTTTAAACTCAAAATATTCCAATTGTCAACATTTAACCATGCAAAAGTAGGATATTAGACCTAATAAGTTCGTTATAATCTCACTTTATTTCACCAAGTAAACATTCGAAAAATATGTCAATCACAATAGGCATGGTCTAACTTAAAAAATCATAATATTTAAATATAATCGTAAATCGTTTTCCAAAAACCATAACTAGGTTAGGGAAAAATTAGGGTTTCAAACCCATCCAATAAATTCAACGATTTTCAATTTAAAATCCAATAATAATCTTCACATAAGCATTATAATCAACTTTCTAGGCAAAACCTAACACTTTTAGGGCAAATCCATTTGACAATAATTTTGAAAAATATCAATAGAAGGGGTCTAGGATTAGAACATATCATCTATCTAAGATTAATCCCACTCACTTTAAGAAAATAGACCAAAAGGAAAAGTTTTGGTGAAGAAGAATTCCAAGGAAGAAGAGGGGAGGGACTGGCGGCTCCTGGCTGCTGTGCTGCCTCTGTTATTTTCTTTTTATTTTATTTTATTTTATATTTTATTAACATAATATACTTAGACTCATCTTCTATATATAAAGACACTCTAACCTGGATATGCTATATCTTAACAAACTATGGATACGCTATATCTTATCAAATCTACACTTACATATGATATATCTTAACAAATTATGGATAAAGATACCTAAATTAAGAGATACGGATAAACAAAATCTAGTTTATTATTTATTTTACCCCAAACTCAATTTTATTCCTAATTTACAGCCAATTCCTTAATTTCTTACACCAAAAGCTCAAAATAAATTAGGCCTAAAATAATATTTTCTGACTCCGGCGTCGAAGTCTGGCAAGTTCTGGTGAACTTCTGGCGAGTATTTTTGCGGGATATTACACTTATCTCATTAGACGGAAACATGGCAAAGCCCCAAGCCGGCTGGGACTCCAGACAATCTTAAACCATAAAGTTAAAACACAGTTATGCCACGAAAATCAAACAACAACGCGTAAAATTCGGTAACTCATACATAAAATCACACACGGCTCTCAAATGATCCCAACTTAACCCAACAACTAACAAAATCATTCACAATGCTTTGGGGTACTTTTACAAATTATTTTCAACTCAAACTTCATTTAAAACAAGGCTGAAAAATCAAGGCACGGATCAAACAATGTCGATTTTACATTATCAAAATATCAAGTTGTATAATTAACGCTCAATTGCAATAATATATGAAAAATCTCATCAATTGGAACCCCCAACATACAAATTTTGAAGTTTAAAACCCTAATTGGGAGGAAACTTTTGGGGAAAACACAATTTGATACAATTTTACAAAATTGACCTTGGAAACATTCGATAAACAATAATTGGAGTTTAATATTATAATTTCCAACCAAAACAACCATAATATTGTCCTCAATACCACAAGAACATCACAAACTAAATTTAAGGCATGGAAACTTGAAACAAAGGTAGGACAATAATTTAAAATGCATTGGAGACTTGAAAATCATAACCAATCGAAGAATTAACTTTCAAAACGGATTTGAAATAAATAAGAAAGGTTTCCTAGATCCCAAATCTCCCACACATTGTTGGAACTCAAAAATAAAGAAAAAGAAGGGCTAGAGGAGCTTTTATTTTGTCAAAAAGTGCAAAACACGATTTTTCAAAAGCGTTTAACTGTACTACTTGGATAGCACATTGTTGTTCAGACTGCAACTCACTCGTCGACTTCCAATTAACCTTTTGTTTGCGACAACAGATAGATAACCCTAACTAATATCTACTTGTAAAATTTTAGGTCAATTGTGTTGGAAAATATTTTTGGCGAAATCTGAAAATAAAAAATCACATAGATGCGAAATCAAATTCGAGCCTCGCGTAGCACACGATTTCCTTGAAGCGAATTCGGCCCTCCACCGATCGCCTCCTAGGATAGAACGAATTGTGAACGGAATAACAGATTCCGCAAATCGAATTAAAATATAAGATAAATTTTCAGAGTGAATTTTTGGAATTGATATTCCGTCTTCCATAGAAAAAAAAAAAAGAAAAAAGGAGAGAAAAATATAATATATATTTTGTATTTAATCACGTGTAGAAAAAAAAAACTGCACACGTTCTACTGCACGTTGCATTTAGTTGCAACAAACTATTTTTTTGATTTTTTTTCAAATAAAATAAATTAATCAAATAAAATGTGGGACAAATAATTATTCCTCTTTCACCTATTTAATTAAATACCCAACAATCCTTCACATGAAAGAGAAAAACTATGACTCGATGAAAGAAAGAAAGATGAATTCTGCATAGATAAGTAGCATTTTCTTTGAACTTTCTCTTGAACAGTATGTAGCTTTACCAATTGTCCAGTGGACATGTTGTCCTTGAACTGTTCAATTTTCTAGTAAATGGGCTACATACCAACACAGAATTCATGTGTCTAGTTTGGTTCTCATTGATTAGTCCGTTTTGGCCATGGAACCCGTCCTGGTTCAGCGAGAGTTTCTAAAGAACTAAGCCTGAAAAGTTCTCCTTTGAAGCGGTCTCACTCTCGCACATAGGTGATCTTTCTAAATTTTCAAGTTATACAACACTTACTTAGTGATCATTAAAGCAATTATTTGATATCCTCCCTACTATGTCACTGTTTGTTG